CTCCCCTGTTCTCCAGAACCAGCCCTGCCCTTCTGGCTGGGGCCCAGACCCAGGCCCTGGGAGGTCGAGCCGCTCACCTGTCCTGGCCCCAGAGAAGCCACCCCACCACCTGTCCCCCTTCCCTGGCCTTGTAGGGCCTGGCTGAGGGGCGAGACTGAGCCACCGGGGAAGGGGGAATCCGTACCTGCTGTTGCTTCCAATGTCTTGGCTAACCCCTATCCCCCCTGAACCCCTAACCATACTCGAAGAGTTCCCAAAGCCTGAGACCAGGGCATTTGGCCCCAGCTCCCTGCCATTGCGAGTACGTTAATAACTAGTGATAGTTTTAGGTGTATCCTTCCAGAAATTTTTTGGCGTATTTACATATACATTGTACATATATGCTTTTAAAAAACATAGGTAGGGGGCGCCCGAGTGGCTCAGTCATTAAGCGTCTGCCTTCGGCTCAGGTCATGATCCCAGGGTCCTGGGATCGAGTCCCACATCGGGCTCCCTGCTCCGCAGGATGCCGGCTTCTCCCTCCCCCCCCCCCCCCGCCGCCTGTGTTCCTGCCCTCGCCATCTCTCTCTCTGTCAAATAAATAAATAAATAAATAATAAAAAACATAGGTAGGATCATACAATGCATGCAATTTTGCTTTCGCTTTTTTCACTTTATGGGTGAAATATATCTTGGGAGGGTTTGTTTGTTTGTTTTTTGTAAACAATGCTTTATGGGGGTGGAGTGGGGACTGGACAGACTGTGAACCAGATGCCAGGATCTTCAGTGAATGAGTAAAGGTGTTGAGGTATAACCAAATGGTATGAAACTTAGAGGAAGTATCGGGGTTTTTCACCTGAGGGTGAAGGAAGAATTATCTGGAAGTTGTAATGTGGCTGGAAGAGAATGCCCACCTCACCTCCTCACTCTGCAGTACATGCATGTATTGGTATAAATCACTTTCACTTGAAAGATCTGCAAGGGAAGCTCCATCCTCACAGGAAAGCCATGAATATTCAGGGATGAGTTGGAGGATGGTAGGAGAGTTTGTTAATCATGGAATGGTGTTTTAGAAGCCATAGCAGAAGCACCTGGAAGTTAAGGTAGAAATGACAGGTCAGGTGGGGGAAGAAGAAGCACGGAGGAATATGGGGAAAACAATAATAATATGGTAATTTAATCGGGGCACCTGGCTGGCTTAGTTGGTAGAGCATGGGACTCTTGATCTCAGGGTTGTGGGTTCAAGAAACACATTGAGAGTAGAGCTTACTTAAAAAAAATAACTAACAATGCTTTGCGTGGATTATCTCATTTAATCCTTATAGCAACCTCATAAAGTAGAGCCTTTATTGTATAGATGAGAAGACAGGCCCAGAATTCAAATCACTTGCCCAAGGTCACATAGCAAATAAGTTGAACTGGGTGCTTACATACTGGGCCGTAACAGAGGAAAACAAGGATGTGAATGAGAATGGTGAGTTTGACTTATCACAAGTTTGGCAGGGTGGTTAGTCCTAACAGTCTTCTGATACACAAGAGGCTCTTAGCTTTCTCCAAATTTACCTGTATTTGGCACTGGAGGCAGGAGCTGCTGTTTTGTTGGTCTTCCTTGTATGGCTCCGAATGGAAGGATTCAGGCATCTGCGAGGCCTAGTGCATTTTCTCACCTGTGCTCTGCGGAGTGATTGGTGGTGGGGGTAGTTGGTGTGATTCTTAGGTATGTCTTGCCCTTGTGGGGGATAGGAAGCCGGGCTGCAGAAGGCTCTAAGGTGTAAGGCCGAGAGGCAGTTTGTGGGAGAAGTGACCTTAATGGAAGACATCACGGACTGTAGATTCTGAGAGATGTGAGGCCCAGCAGGGGTCTGGCAGTGGCCCAATACTTTTGTGCAGTGAAAGCAGTTCCTCCAAGGTTCAAAGCTATGGCCTAGCTCCTAAAGAAACCTCTCTTTACTGGGTGCTCAGGGGTTTTGGTGCCATGCTTATTGCTCAAGGAAGCTTATGAAGAAGAAAAGGCAGTCTTCCTGCAAATTCCCCTGGGCAGCATTTTAGAGCCTTGTGTCAAGATGACCCTAAGAAACCCTTTCAAAAGTTTAAGGAGGCAAATACAATTTGTGAACATTTAATGTTTAGTATAGCTAGGTTATTTATTTTAGTAAAATGTATGATAGACTTGGGTTTTCTGTGTACAATGCTGCATATACGTTGAAGAACCTTGTAAATTGCACAGAACATTTATGCACAAATTACAGTACAGAGAGCATGTATGTCTAAAACATAAAGGCCCTTCATAACTACTTATTGCATGAATAAATGAAGTTCATTATTTTAATTTTTTAAAGATTTCATTTATTTATTTGAAAGAGAGAGATAGCCAGAGAGAGTACAAGCCGGGGGGAGGGGAAGTGGGAGAGGGAAAAGCATGCTCCCTGCTGAGCAGGGAGCCCCACACTGGGCTGGATCCCAGGACCCTGGGATCACGACCCGAGCTGAAGGCAGATGCCCAACTGACTGAGCCACCCAGGCACCCCATTATTTTAATTTTTAAAAAGACTTATTTATTTTAGAGAGAGAGAGAGAGCATGAGCAGGAGGGGCAGAGGGAAAGAGAATCTTCAAGCAGACTTGGCGCCCAACACAGGGCTCAATCCCATGACCCAGAGATCATGACCTGAGAGGAAACCGAGAACAGGATGCTTAACCAACTGCACCAGCCAGGTGCCCCATTATTTAAATTTTTTTCATTATTTTAATTTTTGAAGAGGTTTTGGTTGGGGTGTTTCTTCTTTTATGATATATTGTCTGTTATAGCAATGATTTATTTGAGGATGAGTCCTTTGTCAGGAGCAAACCCCCAATTATAACCTTGGAAAAACAAAATCCACTTTATGATGATACCATTTACAACACAAAACCAGAAACACGTTGCAGTGAAAATCAGGCCCTGCTTATGTATTTGTGTAGGTGGGTTATGAATGAAGGTATTCATGCACACATACAGAAGTAAATACCTCATTAATACTAATGACCTAACTTGGCATTTGTCATAATTCAGATTCAGTTTCTGTGATCATCAGAGTGTATGAAAGTGGATTAAAATATGTATGTACATGTTGCTATGTATCTATTCCCATGCATATGCGATTTGTCATAATTTGGATAGAGTATGCATGATTTTATTTTATTATTATTATTTTTAAAGAATTTATTTATTTGACAGAGAGAGACACAGCGAGAGAGGGAACACAAGCAGGGGAAGTGGGGGAGGGAGAAGCAGGCTTCCCGCTGAGCAGGGAGCACATGTGGGGTTCAGTCCCAGGACCCTGGGATCATGACCTGAGCCGAAGGCAGACGCTTAATGACTGAGCCACCCAGGCGCCCCATGCATGATTTTATAGAATTAAAAGTTAGCTATTATTTCTAGCACTGCCAATATTCAACTTTTTAATTATTAGGTTTCTCAAACAATTTCAAAAAGTAGAAAGTCCATCTAGGTGTTATTAATTCTGGGGTCTATCAGGTTAAATTTTATTCACTAGTGGAATATATAGTTACTACTATGCTGTTAACATGTACGGATTCAATGGGGTCTTTTTTCCATTCATCTCAAGCTGCTTAATAACTGTTTATTGTTGTTATAATGTATTTATTGTTACATGGCAGGCTCCCACGGTGATGTGCCAGATGAAGAAAGCTGTTTGGCAAGAAGCCTGACAGTGTAGCACCAACCACAGCTTGGGGTCTGGGCTTCAGCTTTGCATGTTCATAAACTCAATATTCTAAACGTCACAGAGTTGATTGATGCTGGGAATGCGGATTCACACTAAGGACATTCACAAGAGACTGATGTATAAACCAGAATGACAATTTATTTACAAAGACAAACAATTGTTCATGAGGATTTGAATTGAAAATAGCAAATTTGGGGCACTTGGGTGGCTCAGCAGTTAAGCATCTGCCTTTGGCTCAGGTCATGATCTCGGGGTCCTGGGATCCAGCCCCCGCTTGGCTCCCGGCTCAGTGAGGAGCCTGCTTCTCCCTCTGCCCACTCCCCCTGGCTCATTTTCTCTCTCTCTCTCTCTCTCTCAAATAAATAAATAGAATTTTAAAAAATGGCAAATTCTTGTCAGGGAGATCTTCATGGGAAACCAAATTATAATCAGAAGATTGTCCTTACTACAGAATCAAGGCAAGGTGAGTTAGTTGTACAATTCAAATACATAATAGCGTTTGTTATGATTGCTCCAAACACCCATCTCCCCAATATAGAGTATTTGCTCCCTGGAGAGAATGGTGTATTTGTTTTATAGGTGAGTGCTCATCCACTCCACTGCCTGGGTGGTGCCTGTTTAGTTAGGTTTTGTATTTTTCTATGGTTTCTTTGCTGATCAAAACTTTGGATTCACTCTTTTTAAAATGACACTAGTAAAACGTGTTTCTTTAGCTGTTATCTCTTCAATCAGATTGGTCTTGTATAGCTTGCCTAGAGGCCGTTCTATCGTCAGGGAAATTAGCTCCCTTGAGTTACAGCCCAACTTGTAGGTATGGTGAGGCAGGGGACAGCAACCTAGTGAATACTTCTATGGGGGCACCTCACTGTGGCTGGTGAATGTGGTTGTCAGATCAAAATACCGGATGCCCAATTACATTCAGATAACAAGGAAATTTTAAAAATATAAGCATGTCCCAAATATTGCATGAGGTGTAGTCATACTAAAAATATATATATTCATTGTTTATCTGAAATTCAAAGTTAACTGGATATCATGTATTTTTGCTTGCTAAACCTGGCAAGCCCAGGAATACATTAACAAGATGCCATGAGGCTTGCCTGGGTTCACGGTGGTCGGTAAGCACCGACCCATTCGGTTGCGTCAGGGAACAAAAACCGTTCCCACCAAAAAACTGCTCAGGTTAATAAACAGGTAGCAACCAAACACGGAATAATCTTGACCCCTTGAGGGACCCGTAACTGACGCAACTGCCATAAATGCTGCCTTGAATGATTACCCCACCCCTTCATTCTTCTCTTCCTGCAGCTGGAATGATTGCTCTATCTATCTCTTCTTCCTTCTCTAGTCCCGCCCTTCCAACTCTCCTCTCTGGAGGGGGAATCGGTAGCCCAAAAAGGGCCGGCAAAAGCGCCGACGTGTTCAGAGGAGCGGAAGTAGTCAAATTTCATTGAGAACCGTAAAGTGCGGCTGGCTGTCTCCCTTTCCGGATAACGACAGCAGCTCCGACTGTCAGTGCCGGCCTTCCTCGTGTTAAGAGGATCTGCCGGACCCTTGCTAATTCAAATTTTTTCCCATTCCGGGCCCTTCCCTATCGTCGCCCCCTTCACCTTGGATCATGTTCAAGAAGTAAGGACATGCTGTGGCCTCCATCGGCTGCTTACAAAGGTGGTGGGGGTGGGGGTGGGGAAGAGGGCGAGAGCAAAGATCCTCTTTCTCTCTCCCCCGCCCCTGCCATCCTTACTCCGCAAGGTCTTCTATAGTACTATGCTCTCACTCGCAACTTGCAACACTGTAGCCTTTCCATCCCTAATCTTCAGTCGGGTTTTGATCCTCCCACCCTCATTTTCTTTTTCCTTACCCCTCTTTCTCTTTTGTCCCCTCTCCCAATCCTATCCCTATTCCTAGGGTTCTACCAATCACAATCTTGCACCGTGATTTAAGGGTATATATCCTCTTTAGCTGAGAGGAGAGCCCTGCACTCACTGCCATATGTTTATTAGTTATGAACTGAATAAGGGAAGGCTTGACTTCCTGGGTCATGGCAGTGAAGGAGTCTGGGTGACAGGAAGCAAGCGGCCTGTCATGCTTATTGCCTAGCTGCCAGATTAACCTTGTCTTGAAAATAGCGTTATTGCCCCCATAGGCTATTCAGTGTAAGGAAGACAAAAATTCTTTGGGAATCTACCTAGTGGGTTTACCTTCCAGACTTGCTAGACGCAAAAAGCAAAGGGGGAACATGGGCAAAGGAAGGTGGGTTTTGTGCATGACATTTTGAACAAAAATAAATAGAGATCTTAGAAATCATCGTCATCATCACTTTAAAAAAAAATCTCGGCAGATTACATAGCCTAGCAGGGGCCAGTTTTCTGTGTTATATTTGGGTTGGTCTTTTGTGTCTCAGCGCCCGAGGGTTTTTTGTTTTGTTTTGTTTTACTTTTGTTTTTTCACACAGGTTTTGTTAGAGGTGGGAATCTGTTTCTTCCTAGGTAGAATTGAGTAGGGTTTTCCAGGAAAGACATTTGTGTAGCTGATTACAGATTATAATATGAAATATGCCTCATATTCTACCCCTTCCCGCCCCCCCATTGTGTATACATGACAGTTTAATATTGTATTAAGACACTGGTTTTGTGCTGGACAGAATTGAAGGGAAATGGTATTTTAAAAAACTATTTCATAATTATTTTAGACATCTAAATACTTGGGAATAGTTGACTAATTAAAACAATACCTTTAGCTATTTTGATATGTCTGCTTAGAAATGCCTTTTTCCTTGCAAAAATCATTTGACAGATTTGATGAAAAAGAAAATGTGTCCAACTGCATCCAGTTGAAAACCTCAGTTATAAAGGGTATTAAGAACCAATTGATAGAACAATTTCCAGGTATTGAGCCATGGCTTAATCAAATCATGCCTAAGAAAGATCCTGTCAAAATAGTGCGATGGTAAGTCTTTATTTTTCTCTATATAGAGCTCAGAGTAGCTGAATATTGTATGATTAGATTGCACTCATAATAAATGGAATTATTTTCACATTAACCATCGGTAGATTGATTATAGGAGTAGAGAAACAGAATAACTAAAACATCAATATTTGTATTTTCAAGTGTTTCTCTATGTTCCTGAAAAATATGACTTTGTGTACTGATTGTTTTATTAAAGAGTTAAGTGTTTTTATTCAGGCTTTAATTTATTTCAGTTTGTACTGTAGATATTTGTTTTATTGAATTATCTAACAATGAAATTAAAATAATAAAATGAAATAAAATTGTAGTAGGTCATAATCATCTTTTTTTTCTCTACTGGACTGGTATGGTAGGTGAAACAATTTAAACAATGCTTTTTTGCCTGGATATTTAATAAAGTTAAACAGAGGTTACTGTATCTTTGTATATATACGTTTCATATTTTTTGTTATTTAAAGGATGCTTGGCATATTCATTTTTGAAAGAAGATATCTAACTTGGTACTTTGTGACATTTGTCTTACAGCCATGAACATATAGAAATCCTTACAGTAAATGGAGAATTACTATTTTTTAGACAAAGAGAAGGGCCTTTTTATCCAACCCTAAGGTTACTTCACAAATGTAAGTCTTGTTAGAAAATATGTATTTGGGGATATGGAAAGATATAAAAGGAGTTGAAAGTGACTTCTGGTAGTTAACTTATTTATTAATACTAGGTAATATGGAATATAAAACTAAAATGAATCCCCATCTTGTGGTAAATCTGAAAAATGCAAATTTTCTTATTATGCATTCCAGAAAGGCCAAGAAAGAACATTCATTCATTCATTCAGCAAATATTTATTGAACTTACCATGTGTCAGGCACTGAGCTAGCTACTTGAGAATATGATGGGAAGCAAAGGCAGACATTGTTCCTGTCCCTATGAAGCTAACAGTCTAGTTGGAAGAATAGACAACAATTAGATAATTACACGGATATATATTCACAAACTGTGATAAGTGCTGTGAGCACTTCCTTCTTTTAAATTTGTATCTAGATTTGCCTTGTGGAGATAACTCTATATAAGGGAAAGCATTGGCTAATTGTGGGAGTCCCATTTGTTAGTTAAGTGCCAAGGTCAGGTGTTATAAAACGAAATGTTTATTACATACTTATATTTGTATATTGTCAGATCGAGTACGTTACAAAAGAAAATCCAAAGGAGATACAATCCCCATGCACAAGAGGTTTTCAACTGTGAAGTTAATATTTCTGCTTTTCAGGGCGCCTGGGTGGCTCAGTTGGTTAAGCCACTGCCTTAGGCTCAGGTCATGATCCTGGAGTCCCGGGATCGAGTCCCACATCGGGCTCCCTGCTCAGCTGGGAGTCTACTTCTCCCTCTGACCCTCTTCCCTCTCGTGCTCTCTATCTCTCATTCTCTCTCTCTCAAATAAATAAACAAAATCTTTAAAAAAAAATTTCTCCTTTTCAAACCAGTGTATTTCTGGCATTCTAGCTAAGAGGCAGAAAGGAAGGGAGCAACTGGAGGGCTCTGTAGATGGTAGTGGTAACTAATGAGTTTGGTTTTTGGTAAGAAGAGATCAATTTTGAGTTACCTGGGGGAGTGGAGGTCTGGAGCAGTAAGGCAAGTCTTAAAAGAGGTGAAGCATTTTAATATTTAGAAAGGATTATTTACAATTACTTGATTAAGTATTGATTTCCTCAGGTTAAAAAAGTACAAGGGAGAGAAACTAAGTCCTGATGCAATGGGAAAAGTTTAAAATGAAAATATTTTGGTGACATTAGGACATTTTGATGACATTAATTCCTACTTAACTAAAAGAGGACAAAGACAAAATATTCAAATGTATTGCATGAATCTAGATTGGATCCTGGTTTAAAAAACAAAATTCAAGCCCTCCTCCCCTGCCTCAAAAGCTATAAAACACTTCCTTAGACTCTTGGGGGGAAATTTGAATATGGTTTGGGTATAAGACAATATTGTGGAACTACTGTTAAGTTTTTAGTATGATAATAGTGTTGTGGTTATGTAGGAGAATGACTTTATTTTTAGGTGATATGTACTTATAGTAAAGCACTACATCTGAAATTTCAAATGGTGGAGGACAAAATGTGTGTGCATAAATAGACACAAAGCAAGTAGAGCAAAGGGTTAATGAACAGTTGTTCAATCTAAATGGATGGTGTCCAAGTGTTCATTGAACTATTCTTATGGTTTTCCTGTATGTTAAGCATTTGCATAATATGTTGGAAGAGAAAAATGTTCCTATTTAATAATATTTTGCCAGGAACCAGCCTTTTGGACATCCTAAAGTTATTGATGTGCAAGAAGCAGGGTAATATGGTGGTTAAAACCATACTTGGAGTTAGGTACACCTGGGTTCAATTCCCAGTGCCGGTCATTTTTGCCAAGCCATTTAAACAGGTCAAGTCACTTAACTTGCTTAAGCTTTATTGCCTTATCTTTATTTTTTTAAAAGATTTTATTTATTTGTCAGAGAAAGAGAGCGCATGAGTGCACAAGTAGGGGGAAGTGGCAGGCAGAGGGAGAAGCAGACTCACCACTGAGCAGGGAGCCCAATGCGGGACTCTATCCCAGGACCCTGAGATCACAACCTGAGCCGAAGGCAGACACTTAACCGACTGAGAAACCCAGGCGCCCCTGTTGCCTTATCTTTAAAAATGGATATGTTGTCCCTGTGTCAGTCTCTGTGCTTAGCTCTGAGTCTCCTTGGAATCCTCTCTCTTTCTCCTCTTCCCCTGTGCGCACTCGCGTTCTCTAGCTCTCTCAAATAAATAAATAAAATCTTTAATAAAAAGGATATATTGTATTATCTCCCAGGATTGTGAGGATTAAATGAGACTGTGTATATAATGCATCTAACACAATGCTCAGAACACAGCAATGACTCAAAATATGACAGCCATTGTAATGATGTACTAATTGTTCAAAAAATGTCCACTACTATTATGTATTACTGTCACCATCATCATTATTATTAAAGGGTAGGTATTAACGAGGATGGAGAAGTAGAAAACAAATTATGTATAAATGCATTCATTCAGGTTCCTTTTTTTCAGTAAGATATTTAAATTTGGAGCCATGTTTAATTTGTAGTCTTGGTAGGAAGAAGACTTACTTGTTCTCTGACTAGTGGGAGGGCTAGTGGTAAGACATTGAAGTGGATAAATTTTACCAGTTATTATTATTCCCAGAAAGCTCTGAGAGGTCTAAAAAGTTTTGAATCCTTCAGGGATCCTTTACTTCTTAGATTAAGAACTGTTAGTAGACACACATACACACACACAAATAAATTTTTTGAGATTACAAAAGGAATTTATGTTCATTCTAGAGAGTTGGAAAATAGAGAAATGAAATCATCTGTATTTCCGTGACCTAGAGATAACCATGGTTAGTATATCGGTGTATTTCTTTTTTTTTTTTTAATTTATTTAAGAGAGGGAGAGAGAACACAAGCAGGGGGAGGGGCAGAGGGAGAAGCAGACTCCTCGCTGAGCAGGGAGCCCAATGCAGGGCTCGATCCCAGGACCCTGGGATCATGACCTGAGCTGAAGGCAGAAGCTTAACTGACTGAGCCACCCAGGTGCCCCTATTGGCGTATTTTCATCAAAATATTTCCTATGTTGTGTGTGTATAAATGTATATATTTTCTCCTTTTTAAATTGGGCTCTCCATTAAATAGTTTTTAATTAATAGAGTTTCTTATTTAGGACAGTTGTAGGTTTACAGAAAAATGGGGCAGAAAGCACAGAGTTCCCATATACTTCCTACCCCCCTTTCCTTGTTATTTTTTTTAAAGATTTTATTTATTTATTTGAGAGACAGAATGAGAGAGAGAGAGCACATGAGAGGGGAGAGGGTCAGAGGGAGAAGCAGACTCCCTGCTGAGCAGGGAGCCCGATGCGGGACTCGATCCCGGGACTCCAGGATCATGACCTGAGCCGAAGGCAGTCGCTTAACCATCTGAGCCACCCAGGCGCCCCCTTCCCTTGTTATTAACATCTTATATTGATGTAATGCATTTGTTATGATTGATGAACCAACATTCATTCATTATTATTAACCAAAGTCTATAGTTTACATTAGGGTTCATTCTTTGCATTGTACATTCTGTGGGTTTTGCCAAATGCATAATGTTATGTATCCACTGTTACAGTATCACTATGTACTATCATAGTATCATAAAATAGTTTCACTGCCTGAAAATCCTCTGCTCCACCTCTTTGTCCCTTCCTCCTCCCTCTCCCCCTCCCCTTCCCCTCAACCCCTAGCACCCACTGATCTCTTTGGTGGTTTTTTTTTTTTGTTTTTTTCTCTTAACATTATATTATGAACATTTACCAGGGTATTACATAGTCTCCAAAAGTATGGTTCTATTTTATGTATATTATAGACATACCTTAAGTCATTTATCTCTTTATTGTTGGACATTTAGGTTGATTCCAATTTATTCTATTACAAAGAGTAGTACGGCAATGAATATATTTCTACCTAAATATATTATATATCTCTAATTTTTTCATAGGATAAAGTCCTAGGAATAGAATTACTGAGTCAAGGGGTTTGAACGTTTTCAAGACTGTTGATACATGTTGCCAAGTAGTCCTAAAGAAAGATTGTACCCAATTATAAGCCTTCTAGCAGTATATAAGAATGCCAGTTTTCCTACATTAGCCCTGGGAATTACTTCTGTTGAAAATAATTACCAATGTGTGAACACCTGAGTGGCTCAGTCGGTTAAACGTCTGCCTTTGGCTCAGGTCATGATCCCAGGGTCCTGGGTTCGAGTCCTGCATCGGGCTCCTTGCTCAGAAGGGAGCCTGCTTCTCCCTCTGCCTGCCGCTCCCCCTGCTTGTGCTCAGCCTTTCTCTGTCTCTCTGTCTCTCTGTCTGACAAATAAATAAATAAAATCTTTAAAAGACATTTACCAATTTGATAAGTGAAGGATGGTGTGTTTCAGTTTTATTTTGCATCTGTCAGAATACTGTAATTTGGGGAAATATTTTTTTAAGATTTTATTTATTTATGTGAGAGAGAGAGAGAGCACAGAGGGAGAGTGAGAGGTAGAAGCAGACTCCCTGCTGAGCAGGGAGCCCGATGTGGGGCTCGATCCCAGGACCCCAGGATCATGACCTGAGCCGAAGACAGACGCTTAACTGACTGAGCCACCCAGGCTCCCTTGTAATTTGGGGAAATATTTGTTCACGTCCTTTGCTATTTTCTGTTGAGTCATTAGTCTCATTAATTTATATAATGTATTTCTTTTCTTCTAGATCCTTTTATCCTGCCACACCAGCAAGTTGATAAAGGAGCCATCAAATTTGTACTTAGTGGAGCAAATATCATGTGTCCAGGTTTAACTTCTCCTGGAGCTAAACTTTACCCTGCTGCAGTAGATACGATTGTTGTATCCTTCCCAGGCTGTAACTGTTGAAAAATGTATTCACAGTATTTTTGTCATTACTGAAAGATCTTTTGTCCAAGAGAAGATTAGATGTACTTTTTGGAGGTTACTGTTACTGTTATACCTTTCTGGTTACATTTCAAAATGTGGGAAATAACATCATTTCTTTTCATTTATTTATTTATTTATTATTTATTTTTTTATTTATTAGAGAGCGAGAGAGAAACAGCATGAGAGGGGAGAGGGTCAGAGGGAGAAGCAGGCTCCCTGCTGAGCCGGGAGCCTGATGTGGGACTCGATCCCAGGACTCCGGGATCATGACCTGAGCCGAAGGCAGTCGCTTAACCAACTGAGCCACCCAGGTGCTCAGTAACATCATTTCTTGAGACTAAATTTTGTCCCATCTTAGAAGTTAAATGGAAACAAGGAATGAAAGAGTCCCAGCTGCATTTCAGCCCAGTTATAGCCCAGTGTTATCAGACTCAGGACACAGTATAAAACTTGATTATTGGGGTGCCTGGGTGGCTCAGTTGGTTAAGCGTCTGCCTTCGGCTCAGGTCATGATCCCGGGATCAAGCCCCGCATCGGGCTCCCTGCTCAGCGGGGAGTCTCCTTCTCCCTCTGCCTCTCCCTGCCCCCAACCCGGCTTGTGCTTTCTCTCTTGCTTATATACTCTCTCTCAAATAAATAAATAAAATCTTTAAAGAAAATAATAATAAAATTTGATTATTAATGGAGAGGATATGTATGATACGATTGTATCACTTCTTTGGACATCAGCTTGCTACTTTTACCATTGGCTTACCCATATACACTGAAGTAAAAGCACTCAAAAGGGAAAAGAGCTCAGGTACCAGGTAGAGTATTAGAAGTGGGTAGTGGGAAATATGAACAATTCCCAACTTTAATTTTAAAGTTCATTTTTAAGTTGGCTCTTTGGACCTCAGAACATATTTTCTCAAAGAGAAATGTTTAAGTTTCAGGTAGTCCTTAAAACTCATGATGTGGCTGAATAATTGTGCATTATTTTCATTTCTACAGTGGTGGTTTGCTATATTCTAGGTTAACTAGGTTTTTGTCAACTATCTGGACAGGAGATATCTTTTCTTTTGTCATAGATAAAGTGGCCATTTGCTTCAGGTTGAGAAAATACTTGGTAGGAGTAGGGAAATCACTGTGGAGTGGAGAGGCCATTGGAGTGGGTTTAAGAGTGTCCTGTACTTGAAAGGACAGTATCCTCTGTTGTGGCAGTTATATTTAAGGGGTAGTATAAAGTGTAGGTTTATATCTTAGGAACAGCTTATATTGACATACTGGTCACATCATAAGTGCTCAAATATTTTTGGAACATCGAATGTATGAACTGAAAGTACGATGGAGAAAATGGAGAATAGTATTCTGTAAGGACGGGTTTTTTTTATGTTTATGATTTTTCTAAGTGTTGTAGGTTAATAGTTCTGGAGTTTCCCTTAAATGGAAATTTTTCCTAGTACCTAGCATTTGCTTTTTAAGTAATTTTTATTTTGAAATAATTATAGACTTTTAGACAGTTGCAAAACTAGTGCAGAGAGATACTGTGTAACCTTGAACTTTTACTTTGTAAAATATGTACTGCAATGTTTAACATTTTATTTAAGATTTTATTTATTTGAGAGAGAGAGAGAGAGAGAGCGTGCACGTGAGAGAGCATAAGTGGGGGTAGAGGCAGAAGAAGAAGCAGATTCCACACTGAGCAGAGAGCCCCATGCAGGGCTTGATCCCAGGACCCTGAGCCGAAGGCAGACGTTTAACCGACTGAGGCACCCAGGCACCTCACAATGTTTAACATTCTAAATGCTTCAAGTGATAACCAAGAACATTTTGGTTGTTCTAGAAAGGTTGAAACTTACACTGAGTTCTTTTTTTTTTTTTTAAAGATTTATTTATTTATTTGAGAGAGAGAATGAGATAGAGAGAGAGCATGAGATGGGGGAGGGTTCGAGGGAGAAGCAGACTCCCTGCCGAGCAGGGAGCCCGATGCGGGACTCGATCCCGGGACTCCAGGATCATGACCTGAGCCGAAGGCAGTCGCTTAACCAACTGAGCCACTCAGGCGCCCTTACACTGAGTTCTTAAAGATAGATTGGGGTATAATTATTATTTTAAAGTGTCTATTACATAAAACCACCATTCAGTGATTAAAACATTAGAACACTTCATATGTATTTATTTCACAGTTTTTAATGCAAGAAATTTTATCTCCTTTTTTGCATGACTTATTTTGGTTTTGCTGGCATTGGGTTATAGTATCAGCATTTAACTTTTTTAAAAAAGATTTTATTTATTTGACAGAGAGAGAGACAGCGAGGGAGGGAAAACAAGCAGGGGGAGTGGGAGAGGGAGAAGCAGGCTTCCCGCTGAGCAGAGAGCCCGATGCGGGGCTTGATCCCTGGACCCTGGGATCATGACCTGAGCCGAAGGCAGACGCTTAATGACTGAGCCACCCCGGTGCCCCGGTATTAGCACTTAACTTAAAAACCAAGAATGATAATTAGATTCATTCATTTAGCATTTATTGAATATTTACAATGTGCCTACAGACTCTGCTAGGTCCCTGTCCTCAAGGAGTGTTGATGGTCTGGGTGAGGATATAAGATGGGTTGAAAATGGCTTCACTAGTAATGTGATCATTGTCTGAACCCCCTCTCTAAGGCATTTTGATAGATAAATAGTTTTCTTAGCTGTGTGTTTTCAGGCAATCATGGCAGAAGGAAAACAGCATGCTCTGTGTGTCGGAGTCATGAAGATGTCTGCAGAAGATATGTAAGTCTCATGTTAGTTCCCCTAAGCTTTTGAGGCATGGGTCACCTACTCAGAAAGCATCAGAATTACAGGTGAAATTTGCTCTTATTCATACCACATCCTACAAATATTTAAGCACAGAAGCTTCATTTCTGATTTTTTCTAACTCTTAGGAAGCCATTGAAACCTGTTCTGTCTCTGGGATTGCATTCTTTCTTAAGCACTCTGAAAAGAACTGTGTGCCAACACAGCTGTTTTATATGTATGTATGTGATATTTTAGGAACTTCTTATTTAGTATGATTTAAATTGGGTGGGAGGAAAGATGTTTTGCTGTTAGTTTTTTAATTTTTTAATTTTTAAAAAAGATTTCTTTTTTTTTTTTTAGAGAGAGAGAGAGAGAAAGAGCAAGGGGAGGGACAGAGAGAGAGAGAGGGAGGGAGAGAATCCTTGAGCAGACTTCTCACTGAGCACGGAGCCTGACACGGGGCTCAGTCCCAGGACCCTGAGATCATGACTTGAGCCAAAATCAAGAGTCGGCTGCTTAACTGAGCCACCCAGGCACCCTGCTGTTAGTTTTTAAAACAGTGACATAGTTCAGTACCACACAGTGTTTATCTTCTGTTTTGACCTGGTGGTATAGAATATTAAGGAAATATTAAAGATATATTACCAAAATATAGTCAATATACTGAAAAACTTTGGAACTCATTTGATTACCAAATTATTCCTGTTAATTTTGTTTCACGGTTAAGTGTAACACTTTGATGTTCTCCTGGTATGGTGACATCATTACTTTGTTTGTATAGACTAACTAGTTAGATCACTAGCATCACTTTAAGACAGGAACTGCCGCAGAGTAATGTAGTTTAATGTAGTCAATAATGTTAATGTAATATAAATAAATTCCCTACATGTGGCTCAATAATTGCAAAATAGCAATGCACTTTGAATTATATTTACCATAAGTAAGCCTATAAAAATTCATAACAATATGTTTATATGCTTTTTTCTTTCTACAGTGAGAAAGTCAACAAAGGAATTGGCATTGAAAATATCCATTATTTAAATGATGGGCTGTGGCATATGAAGACGTATAAATGAGCCTCGGAAGGAATGCACTTGGCTAAATATGGATATTGTGCTGTATCTGTGTTTGTGTCTGTGTGTGACAGCATGAAGACAATACCTCTGTGGTTATGCTGAATAAATTCAACAGATGCTAAAATTCTGTTGGCTTCAAAAATTATTTTAATTTTTCTTAAAGTCAAGTTAAGATTGGGTAGCAAACTTGGACATTAAGAGGTATTTGGTAAGTACTCAAACTCAGACAACTTGTTGTCCTTTCTTAGGCTAATGATGTAAAATGAAGGGCAGGACTTGGTAAATGAACTTGATAGTATATGGCTGACCCCCAGAGAATCTGACTACTTAATGGGGCTGGAACCTAGACTGGGAATTTTCTCCCATTACTCCCTGGAAATGCCCCTTCTCTTTTGTGTGTGTTTTTTGTTTGTTTGCTTGTTGTTGTTTTTAAACTTTCCATTATGGAAAATTCCAAACATATATGAAAATATGTGGGGAAGAGTATAATGGATCTTTTCTGTATCCATCACCCAGTTTCAATTCATGGCAAATCTTACTTCATCTGTATCTCATTTACTCCTTCCCACCCCACTCCCCAGTTATTTTGAAGCAAATCCCAGATATATCATTTTATCCATACTTTAATATGTACTTTTAAAAAATAAGTGGGTTTTTTATTTTTATTTTTTTTAAAGATTTTATGTATTCACTTCAGACACAGAGAGAGAGAGAATGAGCAGGGAGAGAGGCAGAGGGAGAGGGAGAAGCAGGCTCCCAGCTGAGCCAGGAGCCTAATGTGGGGCTCGATCCCAGGACCCTGGGATCATGACCTGAGCTAAAGGCAGATGCTTAACCATCTGAGCCACCCAGGTGCCCGATAAATGGGTTTTTTTAAAAAAAATCATCACACCTAAAAAATTTGACTGTTTCTTAATATGATCAAATATCCGGTTCAAATATGTGACAAGTGAACTTGATTTCCTCTTTTTTTATTTTTTAACCATCGGTTTGCTTGAAATTGGTCCCAGACAAGGTCCATATATTGCATTTGGTGGTTATTTGTTTAAGTCTCTTAAGTTAGAAGTTCTCCCTTTGTCTTTTCCCCTTTAAATTAATGATTGAAGAAATCTGGTTGTTTTGTCTTACAGAGTTTTCTCCCCCATTCTGGATTTTGTCAGTTGTATCACTGTAAAGTAGTTTAACTTGTTTTTGTGCCCCCTGTGTAACCCATAAACAGATAGGCTTGATGAGATTCAGGTTGAATTTATTTAGTGCCCTGTCCTGAAGCTGGGTAAACTCATACTACACAGATGCTCAGAACTTCCAGATTTGGGTCCTCACTGTATCCCCCAAAGAACATGTATCTCCTATCGTAAGTGTTACATGAAGGCCATGGACTTATTTCAGTAAGAACAGTAAGCTGTTTCGGGAATTAAATGAGAATTCAATGGGAATTTATATAGTGACAGTAGGTCTTTCTTAATAACCTTGCTGTTCTAGTGTCTCAGTCATTTTCATTTGGTTGTTTACAAATATATGACATGTGATTTTATTTTTCAGATGGATACAGACATTTACAAGATTGTGGTGACCCATGTTACAGTTAGAAGGTGGTGAGAAAGGTGAGGGTGGATAGTAAAAAGAGAGAGACCATTTGGCTGGCTGTTGCAGCTGGGCCCCCAAGATATAACATAGGTGAAGGTTATTGATCCAGGCTCTGACCCTCAGACCGAGAAACTATTTCCCACTAATGAAACTTGTAAGACTTGAGGAGTCCCACATTAGAATGTGAATGTGTTAATTTATAGTGGTAAGTCTGCTTAGGATACACAATTAGTAAACAGGAAGTTTCTTGGTGAACATGGATAAGAGTAAAGGAAGGTTGAAATTTGGGGGAATATTTCATCTGGGCTGGTGTAAGGCTTAGAGAATTTTTCTTCATCATTAATTAGAATGCTTATGTCTGCCACAATCTTTCCTAGCCTGTAGAGGAACCCTGATATTTTACTTCCTATATTCTTTTTAAGTTCTATGTAGAATATTTTCCTTTGTCATGACAGTTATATTCTACAACTTAGTATATTGTTATATTTTACTATTTATTCCTGATGGATAAAAGTATAGTCTCATCAGTGACCCATTTATAAATCATCCTTCAGAGTAGGTTTCTTCAACAGTCTCATTTTGTGCTGACTTACCAGTTTCAAATTCAGATGTCTCTCCACTTGAGGGATGAGGCACCCTATTTGAGGCCTGTAGCACCTTACATTCTTAAAAAGAGACTATCTGAGTCATTGATGTCAAAACCAAACTTTGAACCTCTAGTTTTGGTACTAAGTTAATGTTAATCGACCAGGATTGCCTATGGAGTGTTAGCAATGACAAACAAAGCACATACATATTAGAGAAGTTAAAACCTTTAATTGCTTGGTTTCTGAAATAATTTATCCTTATTTCTAACCACTGTTAACAGTGGGTGTGGGGAACACTTTAAAAATATTTAACATCATCATCTGTGCTTGTTTTTCCTACTATGCTGAGGTATAGTGACTCTGTTGCCTTGGTGATGTGGACTAAATATGTATGTTTTCTCCTTCCCCTGGGTCTGAGGCCTCAGGTCATGGTGTTAGTCAGGGGTGTCACTCTACGCTGGGAGCCTGGTCAGTGTCTCAACATTAGGTCATGCAGGAAAGCCAATTCAAATAGGTTAAACTAGCATCTCAGCCTCTTGAGGTCTTATGCTTAAAGGAAACCTGGTCTACCCACATTCCTGAGACTAGGAATACAGGGAGAGCCTGTTTTCTCTAAGGCAATGTGTCTTCAGTTCATTTTTAGTTTCAGAATTAACTTTGTGTGAAGCCTGCCTATAATGTAGCCATTTCTATGTATCTGACATACTCAGCCAAGGTCAGTTCAGCTCAGTGAACTTTTTTTTTTTAAAGATTTTAATTTATTTGTTTGACAGAAAGAGAGCACAAGTAGGGTGAGAGGCAGAGTCAGAGGGAGAGGGAGAAGCAGGCTCCCCGCTGAGTAGGAAGCCCGATGCAGGACTCGATCCCAGGACCCCGGGATCACGACCTGAGCCAGAGGCAGATGCTTCACTGACTGAGCCACCCAGGCGTCCCCTCAGTGAACATTTATTGAATACCTGCTAGGTCCTAGGTGATGTGGCACAAAGATGAATAATACACAAGTGGCCCTTGCCCTTAAGGAACTTCCAGGCTAGTGAGTAAATTTACATTTTTTAAAAATCTGGGTAATGGTGACAGCCCAATACCGATTTATAAAGCCACTGGGAACTACTAATACTTTTCCAATTTCGGTCACCAAACTTTGCAAATTACACATGAGCTAAATATAAAAATATTCCTTAGATTGTATCCAATGTGAGAAGGTTAAAAACAACCAGATGTCTTGGAGTTGCAATGATTCAGCATTCCAACTCAGATGGCTGACCCATTGTGCAGTAATAGAAAGGCCTGATCAGCCCTCTTCTAGCAGACTATTATAGTGGTTTGGTGGTGGTCTCTTGGCAGCTGCATTTTTCCTTTTCTTTTTTTCTAATGTTCTGGACCCAAAACAGACAGCTGGATTTATCCCAGGGGTAGTCATGAACATTTCCAATTCGAGGAATTTGATAGTCCCCAAACAGAAGGTCATATGCCATTTGTCAAACAATGATTATATCCAGCCAAGTTCCTCCTTTGGATACAAATCAGCTACTGAGGATACAGTATTTCTAAGCATAGTACTTCAAAAAATATAAGAATGGCAAATGACTCAATTTGCACAGGTATTTCATTACAATAAATATTTTACTTTTCTGTTGTTCATGAGAATATTAATAATGTAGCAGTCATATATTAATGGGAATATGAAATGAATGTATGCCCAAACAAAATGTGGTAAATATTTTAACTTTGTTTATCTAGGTTCCTTAATTTTGAGAATATATCTCTCAAGGCTCTTCACGAAACTCAAAATGTTCCAATTTCTAAAGGAGTATCCACTAGAACTGATTTATAATGAAAGGAAAAAAATGAAAATGTATGCATCCTATGTCAATATAACCATCACTTCTGAGGTCTCAAGCAATCAGAAACTTACTCAAGTAAGAATTAGGCCATTAAAATATATTTGGAAAGCCCTTCAGAACACTTATGTTTAGAATGTTACTAGTTGTGTTAAGGCAGTAAGAATTAGATTAAATATAATTGTTCTTAATATCCCAGTCTCTCAGCAATAGTTCCTAAAGAAATCATGCCTGTCAACATGGAGACTGATGCATGTAAATGTATACTTTGCTTTATATGTTTTTATATTTTGTATGTATACTTTTTATAACAGGTAAAAGAATGAGTACATATAATGAACTATAACACCAATTTGTTTAATATTGTATTAAAACTAATTAAGTACTTGTAAAGGACTACAACTCCATCAGAACAGGAGTGAATAATGTGATTGAGAACCAGTTTTTAATCTGTGTTGAGACTATTAAGCATGCAGGTTGGTTCGTTGATTGGTTGGTTTGCTTAAGAGGCTGGCCTCCTGGAGAATATAATTTATGTATGGGAAAATATACAGGAGATGATTCACTGGAATTCTCCTAGTAATATCCTGTTCATCCAAACTACTTAGTACTATTAATTTTTGTCTCCTGGAGTGAAAAATGAAAGGACACCAAATTTTATCCATGAACACTTTGAGAAATAAAAGATCAATTAGTGAAGTAATTTCTAATTAAAATCCTAATTGTTAACAGAGAATGACATGCTTCATTATTGTTCAATTCTAATTAAATGGGTTATCTAACACATTTTAAAATCTCATTTTAAAAGTAAAACAAATTATGATTTCCACATCCTATTTTTTATTGCTCTTGTTCCATTCCTCAATTTTAAAGTACTTTAATTTCAGCTAATATGTGAGTAGAGGGAACTTTTAGGGTATAATCGTTCACTCCCTTCAGGTTCATTGTAAGTGTTCCCAGAACTCTACCATAGGGGGAAATAACTCTAAATTTAAAATATGCAAAGATTAGTTTTCTCTCCTTCTAATTTTAATTTTTTATCACAGGACATGATTGTGAATGATAACTGTGAACTTTCATTTAATCTTCTGTGGTGAAATAAGTAATTTCTATTGATTTTCACAAGCATGTGAGCAAAAGACTGTTTTAATAAGCAATAAATCATGTAAGCACTTGCTTGGAGGAAGTGCCATTTCTCCAAACATATGCCTTGAAAACAAATTAAATTCAGTTCCCTTTTTGCCTTGGGGAAAGCCATATTGGGGAGACTTTTGAGGTCGGGCAATCTGTTTTTATTCTTCCCACTTTCTATTTCAAAAGGGGACACTCTCTCTCTTTGTCACCAAATGCTGGGGTTGTCCTTTTATGCTGATGCATGATGAAACCCTGAGGCTTGGAAACTTGCACACTAATGAGATGATTTTGTGATGAAACTGCATGTTGGATTGATACTGCCCGTGAATGAGCTTAAATTTGAGACAACTTTTAAAAGGAGCAGTGCACGTTCTTCTGGTTTTGCTTCCCTATCAGCAGGGCTTGAAATGTCTGTTTCTGCATACAGATGTCTTACCAGTAATTTTTCTCATGATCTGAAAGATTTTGTATGTACTTCTTGGTCTGGATTCTGTTTTCATCAGGTCTAATGCTGATGAACTCATTTTGTAAAGCCAAAATTCACTGTTCCCATAAACATCTGGACTAGATTGGGCAGGATGAGGAGGATGGGAGGAGAGTCCTTTTTGCCATGTAGGCTCTGGAAGGTTTCTTGGAGAGTTGACTTATGCAGGATTAGAAAAAAGTACGCTTTTGCCTGACTAAGGTATTTCTAAAAGTTGCTTGTGTGAGCATTTTAGATTTCAGAAAGTTCAACCTGAAATGTATGTGAATATAGAGTAGAAAGTTTCACTTAGTGGGATAACCACTGTCTGTAGCCCATCAAGTTAATGTGTCTCCTAAATGCTTTCCAAAAGTACAGGACTAGAAAACATTTTTCACGGGCAATGCTTTATTCTGTTTTAAAAATAGTAGGGGCTAAAGTCTAGTAAAAACTCGGACACTTATGCTGTACTGATTTTATATCGTGACTTACAAGGTACAAATTTTGTATTTTGTAAAATATTTTGAAAGAAGTCTGCAAAGTAATTCCCCTTTCTTGCTCCCAAATGTGGAAGTCTGAGAGAAGGCACATGGCCCCATGAGTTTCTGGGTGTTGTCAAACCCAATTCTCTCTCAACTACCAAATGCCCAGATACATTTACTGGGAATGCACGAGTCTCATTTAAGCTGTGGTTTTTGCCTATGTAAAGAGAAACATCTTGATTAAAGTGTGAGGGGAGAGAAACCATACCGATTTGGGCAGTTTGGGCTCAATAATGTCTAATTTGCTGTGAAAGGGGAACTTGCTCTAAGTTCATGTTCTTAAAAGCAACTTCTGAACTTCTCCTAAATAAGTATTTACTTTATACAAAAGCTGTTTGAGGAAGATTGCATGGCACAGATTAAATGTACAGATGTTATCTTAAAACTTAAGGAGTTCCCTTATGAATTTGAATATTCAATACCAGCTGTTAGTCACAGCAACATTTTAATATTTTACCATCTAGGTATTTAATAAAAGGGATTGATGCATATTTAGCTGTGTAAAGTGTTAGTTAAACTTGTTCAGGTGGCTGAGAAGGAGAGGGAGAGAACATTCCCAGAGCACCTACTATATGCACAAGCTCTATTCCAGTATCTTGCTTCATCTTTAGTATGATTCCATGAGGTAAATTTTAGTTCTCATTTTACAAATGAGGAAACTAAGGCACCTGAGGGGTTATAGAACTTTCCTGAAGATACATACAGAATTGGGATGTGGACCTAGGTCTACCTGACTGCAAACCCTGTTTTGCAGAAAGTCTGCCTTCACATTTCAAAAAATAACCTCGGCCCACAGTCGTATCGCCATCTTTATTTCTGGGTTATTGGAGAGGAGTCCAAGTTGGCCACGCCTCTGATCCACAGCAGGGAAACAGTAGGATTCGAATGTGGTTAAGAACGGGCTGCTTGCACAGGGTCTTATTTGTGCTTCTGAGGGAACCGCTGCCCTCTTCATCGGGGGGGTATATGGAGAGAATCTTTTGAAACTGGACTTAGTCCTGAGGGCTGAACTTTTTCTATTAGTCACCTTCAGGCCAGGTGACTTGTGACCATTTAAAGGTTATGCCATTTAGAAGCCTTGGCTGATAACGCCATTTAGGAAAGGATACAAGGGGGAGAGTTAGTTAAATGGGGGAGATTATAGGGTATAATGTGCAAGGGCAGGATAGCAGCTGCTTTGTGACTATCAATATATCCAAAAGATAAATGGGGAAGAGTAGTGAATATTAAAATTAATGAGAGGAGCAGTTTGGTTCAGTTATAATCTAAGGAGAAAAGTTGAGGGGTCTAATCTATGTATTGTTCCAGATGCAGTGATTGAATTTTCAGAAAGAAGATCCAATGATTTAATTTTCAGAAGGAAGGTCTAGTGATTAGACTCATGCAAGGAGATGGCCTGGGGCCTGCTAAAAGTCAGGTTGCAATTTCCTTAGCATTCAAGACAACCAGAATAATAAATAGGACTTTCAGAAGGAACTTAAAGTTTTCTCCCATTTCACATATTAGCCTCGGGGTGGGGGGTGGGGGTCTTATCATTTCTGAAGTTGGTTAGACCTGTGCTGTAACTCCAAAATACATACTGGATTTCAAAGACTTAAATAAAAAAGTAATGTAAACTATGACATTATTTTTTTTCTGCTGATTACATGTTGAACTGACAATACTTTGGATATACTGGGTAAAATAAAATACTAAAAGTAATTACACCTGTGTCTTTACCTTTTTAATATGGCTACTAGAAGATTTAAAACAACACATGCGGCTCACCTATTTCTGTTGCATGGCACTGGAGTGGAGAATGGGCAGTAGTCCCTGAAGCTTCCCTCTAGTGGCGAGTGCCTTAGAGTGGTCAATATGGAAAAGAAGATTCCCAGTGCCAGTATTCACTCTTCCATCAAGCTAGGACCAGCCTTTCCCTTTTCCCCTCAGATCATATGGGGCTGGTGTTTTGACTATTAGAACATCCCCGTTTATTCAACACTTTGAGTACCTATGTGGATATCGCCTAGTCACTAGATCAAAGCATTCCATTTTTTTTTTTTAAATGCAAGCCCATCCCATTCAGGACATCTTTATTCCATCACTCCCATCCGTCCATGCATCCAGTGAAAATCTTGAGTCTTTAGTTTTAGGTCCTGCCCTTCCTGTTAAGGCTTTTGCCGAATTGCCCAAGCAACAGCCTAATCCAATGTGGCCGTTCTTGCATGGAATCAGTGAAAACAACCAGGGAAATGCGAATTATGTGGGTTAAAATATGTAGCATGTATCAAATTGAGGACTTTTAAGGCAAAAGGACCACTATATTCTAATAATAAACTATAGCTTGTTCTAGTGCTCATGCAGAGCTTACATGAAGTGATTGTTTGACTCCCTGTACAAATTGTACAGGGAGTTTGGGCTCCTTTTGCTTTCACAAAATACCAGGCCTAGTGTTGAGTTATACAAGGAATATTATAGTATACAGGTGCCACACGAACAAAGTTGGATTTATCTTTTTAAAAAAATTAAGTAATCTCCACACCCAACGTGGGGCTCAAACTCACGACCCCGAGATAAAGAGTCTCACGCTCCTCCTACTGGGCCAGCCAGGAACCCCAGAAGTGGATTTATCTTTCTTTTAAAAAAATTATGGTAGAGACTCCAGATATATACCATCATTTCATATTTTCCAAACAAGTAATTTTGCCATTGTGCTTTAAATATTTTATCCTTGATGATACTAGAATTATTGAGTGATTATTTTTTAATGAAACTTTGGGGGACTCCTTTGTGGGGAGGTTGGCAAACATTTCTGAATTTCTTTGTATGCCAAAAAAGCGCTAAACTTCTCCAAACACAATGCTCTTCACATAACCACTCAGACCTTCACTGAATTCATCATTCCAAGTCAGCTGGCACTAAAAGGAACACAATATTAACAAATGAAGGGGAAATTAGTGGTACATCATCACTAGACTCTGTACTGTCAGTAAATTTTCTAATACAGGTGTGCCCTCCTTTAAGAAAGCTCAATAGATGGGTTTAAATGCATTACAGAAAAATCTGGGCATTATAAATCAGAATGGATACACAAGCAACCTTTTAGCTACATAAAAAAAAGCAAAGGGGTCTAATCTATATTTTCCTCCAAACCCAATGTTTTAATTTTGAGAAGGAAGATCTAGTGATTAAATTCACACAAGGAGATGGCCTAGGGCCTCTGAAAAGTCAGGTTGCAGTTTCCACTGCATTCAAGATATGCAGGAAAGTAAAAACAACTTTTAGAAGAAATCTTAAATTTTTTTTTAAAAATTATTTTAAAATTTATTTGAGAGAAAGATAGAGCTACAAGCTGGGGTGGGGGGGGAAGGCAGAGGGAGAGGGAGAAGCAGATTCCCCCTGAGCAGGGAGCCTGACGTGGGGCTCAATCCCAGGACCCTGAGATCATGACCTGAGCCAAAGGCAGCCGCTTAACTGAATGAGCCACCCAGGCACCCCTAAATTTTCTTTCACATCTCATCCGGTGGATCTCACACTTCTGGGCCTGGTTAGACCTGTGTTGTCCAATGTGGGAGTCACTAGCCATTTGTGAAATATATTCACGACCATGA